AGATCCAGGAAGATAGAGATGGTGGGTCTACGAAAAGAATGTCGGTGCTCTAGAGTTTGGCGAAGAGTGAAGATGTGGTCGATACAACCTCGACCAGATCTATAACCAGCGTGGTTCTCACGCGTGCACTCTTCACGAGCAGCAGACAATCGACAGATACAGGCGAGAAGTTTAGAGGCAATGTTGATTAAACTAATTCCTCTGTGGTTTTCACAAGAGGATCTGTCACCTTTGGCGCCGTATTTGTCAAGATTAGTGTAAATAATAATAAATAAAACCTTTCTTGTAAGTGGGTATGATGACCGATTCACACCATTCAGCTGGAGCCTGTTCCCTCGTCCACACTGAGCCCAGGAGCTTCGTTAACTCCAAAACCAATGCCAAACCTCCATCCTTAAAAGCGGATGGGGAGAGTCCGTCTGGGCCGGAGGCCTTATACCTTTTGCGGTAGCTTATTTCCCGGGAAACCTCCATTTCAGATGGAGGACTGGCATCGACTGGCAGAATTTGCGCAGTTGGACCGGGTATAGGGAGGTCTTGTGCTGACGAGGGCCAGGTGAACTGAGCCCTAAAATGTTCTGCCCATCGATCTGGATGGTGTTGCTGAATATGAATCAGTCTGCCGTCAAACTCCCTAATTACTTCACTTACGCCTTCAATCCTTGGACCCGCGCTCCTAATTAATCCGAAAAGATTGCGACTATTACCAATAGCCGCAGCTTTCTTCATCTTTTTACACTTTCGTACCCATTTTTTCTAGCGGTCCTTCCTCATATTCTTGACTGGCTGGCGTTTAAGGGATTTATGCACTTTGTCGTATTTTGAATCCGAAGGAATGGCATGGCAGCACTCGCACTATGGAAAGATGAAGTCTCATCGTGATGAATGGCATCAAACCGACAGCAGCGGCATTTTCATTGTGAATTCTTGGGAAGTCAAATGTTTGAAGTAGTTTGAATGCACCGTTTGGCTTTGTGCTGTTTTCTCCATAGAGATTTATTTCCCCTCTCCCTGGAGACGGGCCCACTCCCGAACTACTTTATGCATGCTTGATTTTTGTATGAGTTTGGTAATAATCACCGAAATTTGCTCCAGTTTATTCTGCTTTAGAACAAACTGAAGCTGATATATGCGCAGATTAAGTTCCTTCGTATTTCACCGCGAAATCACTCGTAGTTTAAAAAATTGCAATGAGAACCTCGATAGATTTTTAGCTGCCTCCTCGTTCGATTGAATACAGAACAGTGCTCCCATTTTCGTAGCGGTTCATACGACCCCCCGTAAAACTTCGTTATCGGAGTAACCCGATTAGTCTCAAGCCCACTATCATTCGTTGAAGTCATTTTCCAAGTAATAAAACGACTTTCTGCCGTGACCCACTTTTATCGCCTATCGTTTTTCGCTCACCGGAATATAGGAACTGCTGATTTTTGTGATTTCGATCCGTCTTAAATCCTTTCCTAAATCCTTGAGCAAGTTATTTTCAGATGTTACTTCACACTATCATTTTCTCCTGATCTTCCGGAATCGTTTTCAAGATTCGATATTGCTATTGTGATCATCTATGTGGTCATCCATGTTGATCTGATGCTGTACGTCTCCCATGCATGCTAATTGCTGAAGGCTCCAATTTCTGGCTCCTACTAAAAATTAGACTATCTGTACATCACCATAAGATATAAACTATAAATTTTCATTTCTCTCACAGGTCTGATATGGCCGATACCCCGAAGCTCGCCTTTACATTCTCTAAACAAAAGAAGTCTCTCAAATTAACAGGAACCACAGCTTCATCCACCAGTCCTCGTGTACAAAAAGAATCACTAAGAGAATATGTATCCTGCATTGAGGATAATGTCATACAGTACATTCTTTAACTGCTGAAGTTTCTAGTGTTTTAGATCAGATAAACAACCGGAAAAACCACTGGTCATACCACTGATTCAAAGTCGTAACGGCATTCGCAAAAGGATGCAGGAAAAATTAACACAAAAAGAAACACATCCGATTGATGATTTAACAAAACAAGCCCTACAAGAACTCAAAAAAGGTAGTATCATTATTTTTCAAACTTTCCTATACAGAATTTGATTTGATTTTCAGAAGCTCTTGAATTATCTGAAACGGTAACCCCAGGTCCACAGAAATCAAACATCACCATACCTATCACGGCGGCTGCTAATGAAAGTGACAAGGTACCAATCTTCTCACGTGTATTTTATGTTTTAGGTGGATGATGTGAATTACGACGCTGTTCCGGTGGAGAAATTCGGCCTAGCAATCTTAGCTGGTATGGGTTTCAACCCAGATGAACTGAAGAATAAAAAAGAGTTAGTTCTGTGCTAATCATTTTCATGCGTAAACAAATTCTAGTGATATTGTCGGCCCGTTACGACCAAAATGTTTAGGTCTCGGGGCTGACCCGAAAGCGGTTCAGGCGGCCAAAAACAGCGCTGAACAGACCACAAAAGAACAACTATTGTGGAAAGTTGGTGCTAAATGTCAAGTGGTACTCGGAAAGCATCGTGGAAAATATGGAGTCGTGAGTGTTCGCCCTGATTGCTATTATCTTATTAAACGTGTTGGATGAACATCCTTTGTCTTTTTTTCTCTTTCCTCTTTCTTCAATCGTCTTTTTTACGATACCGTATGAGATGAACGACAGAAAAAGTGAACCTCATATTCACGGCGACCTACTGATGATAACCAGCAACATGAGTCCTGGAATTCGGAGTGGTGAACCACACCATGTTGATACCGCATCTTGACTTAATGTGATGGCTTGAGCGTTTTTTGACCCAATGGGCTACTCAGGATTGCCTTTCTTAAGCCGAAGATATAATGCCGTCTGTAAGGTGTGGTATAGATCAGATAAAGTCCAGCATCCTGATCCTGCGGATTGAATATTCTTCTACCCTGTTCTCTCACTTAAATCTCAACAACCGCGGGTTCCCGACTATGTGACTGAAACTTCGGTTCCCTTCTTTCAATTACTACCTTTGCACTCTATATTGTTACTCAAATAGTAGTGACTCTTTACTCTTTAATATATTATCGGCAAACATTGGTAGCGTTGGTGAAGCAGACCCCAACGTTCAGTTTACACTTTTGGGTGATTTTAATGTCTATAACAGGAATTGGCTGTTAAACTCTTCAGGGACACCGCCTCTTCGATGTGAAGCAAAATCATTTGTCCTGTTAAACAGCTTTCACCAACTGGCTGGTTTCCTCACCCCTTTCCCCTACCGTGCTTGCGACCACACTCACACCCCCGATCTAGTTCTCACATCCAACCCACAATTATTTTTAAAGATTGCTGCAATTCCTCCCCTGGCCCATCAGAAAATTGTCTTATTTCGCTCCGTATCCAGATTATCCGTTCCACTATTCCTCCCAATTCTGGAGGCACACTGTGGCGTTACGGTTCCGCTGATTGGTGCATCTTTCGTAGTTTTATGGCTTCCTACCCATGGAATGGCTTGCTTCTCCGCCGATGTTTCCATCCCGGCTTCGAAATTTTCCAGTCCTTTTGAAAGGCATACACCTATTTATTCCTCATTTCATTAATTTCGGCAGAAATCTTTCTCCGGAATGGTTTAACCACGTCTGTTGTCGCGCTGTTCGTAAAAAATTAGCGTTCCACCGCTGGCGTCGTTCACCTCCCCTCCCCTCTCGCTGATGGTTCTTGCAAGCACGCAACAACTGTACAAAAATCATACAGAAGGATCAGGCGCACTTTGTTGAGCGCAAAGCATCACAGTCAACAACCACTCCGTCTGAAAGCCGGATGCTGTGGTCACTTGCTAAGTCAGTCTCCCGTAATTTCTGTTTCACCAAATCCCCATCCATTTTTAAACCGTCTGTGGACTTAGTGTCCGACCGGCTTAAAAAACCTAAGTATTTACCTCCCATTTTGCTTCCAGTTTTGCCCTACTCAAAGCAACCATCCAAATCTTAA